TCGAGCAGTACGGCGACGTGCAGAACGACGGGGTCACGAAGATTACTGGGCAAATTGCATGATCGACACGCTGAACGAGATGGCGGGCGGTCCTGTGCCATCGGGCGCTGGGCCAGAGGTTCCCTCGGCGGGCCAGGCGCGCTGTCTTGAGCGCCTGCGCTCCGCCGCGCGGGCTGTGGGACCTCCTCCTGATGGCATGGGCGGCGAGGGGGCCCTGAGTGAGCTCCTCGCCAAACGAGGGTCTGGCGGGGAGCCCGCCACCCTCGCGCCCCTCGAGCTTGACCTCCTCTCCGTGCCTCCGGAGGGCCACAGGCCGCGCGGCCTTGAAGAGGTTGCAGAAGATGTTCGCGTGCGCATCGCCGAGGGGCTGAAAAGCAAGATCCTGCCCAAAGAGGAGGCAGGGAGGAAACGTGAGGAGTGTGGCGTAAAACGTTGTTACAGCGATCCTCTGCTGCGAGACCGACGGCACTACTCGCGCCTGGTGAGGCACCTCGCCAGCAGGGGGCTCATCGAGTTCAAGCGGGCCTGCACTGAGCAGGTCGGCATCTTCTCTGCATGGAAGAAAAGTGGCAAGGTTCGGCTCATCATAGACTGCCGACTGTCCAACACGCACTTTGACGAGCCCGACGACGTGAACCTGGCCACCGGCGCGACCATGGGCTCCATCGTGGTGGACTCGGCCGCTCTGGTAGCGCTGGGGCAGGTGGACATCGCGGGCGCCTTCTATGCGCTGGCACTGCCGTCGGATCTGACTCTTTTCTTCGGCCTGAAATCTCTGGCGGCCGGAGAAGCGGGGATCTCGCACTGCAGCGGACAGCCTGTGGGCGTCAACGATGTGGTCGTGCCGTGCTTCGCGGCGGTGCCGATGGGGTGGTCGTTGGCGCTGGGCGTGTGCCAGGGCGTGCATGAGGAGATCGCGCGACAGGTGCCGGGGCTGCCTGACTCGCAGCGGATGGCCGACGGCCGATCGCCGCCGCCACTTGCGCCGGTCAGCCACACGCAGTACGTCGACAACTTTGCGGCGTTCTCGCAGGACTTTGCGAAGGCGGAGGCTGCCGCGGTCGCCGTGGACGCAGGCATGAAGGCGGTGGGGCTGCCGACGCATGGCGTGGAGGCCAGCGTGGGAGGCGTCTGCTTGGGTTGGCACTTTGACGAGGAGGGGGCGATCGTCGCGCTCAACCCCGTCAGAGTTCGGCGCCTACGACTCGGAGTTCAAGAACTGCTTCGACGACCCCGTGTCTACGGCTGGCAGGTCGAGGTCGTGGTGGGGCACTTTACCTTCGCTGCTTTGATGCGGAGGGAGATGATGTCCTGCTTCGGGGCGGTGTACGGCTTCATCCATGCTCATCGTGACGATCGCACGGCGCTCTGGCCAGCGGCGCGCCGGGAGCTGTGGTGGGCCGTGAGCCTGCCACCGCTGGTGCGGCGCGACCTGGCCGCGGAGTGGGGCGCGACGGTGATGGCGTCGGACGCTTCGCCTTGGGGCCGCGGCGTGGTCGAGGGCGAGAGGGCCGAGGCGCTGGTTCGGCGCACTGGACGCGTGAACGAGAGGTGGCGCTTCAGCAAGCACGGTGAGCTCAGCGCACAGGCTCGGCTCCACGCTCGCTGCCGTCCCGAAGGAGAACACCTGACGGATATAACCCAGGAGTCGCAGGTCGAGGGGCCGTCGTCCGAGTCTGACTTCGACGAGGTGCCCGCCGAGCTGATGAAGGGCCCCTGGCGCACGGTCAGCGCCGCCCGCTGGCGGCAGCGCGAATCCATGCCCATGCTTGAGGCGCGGAGCGTCCTGTGGGCGCTGAAGCATCAACTCCGTCGGCTGCACAATCATGGTCGCCGTCTCCTCTTCATCGTCGATGCGACGTCGGTGGCGCTGATGATGGGCAAGGGGAGGTCGTCGGTCAAGGGGATGAACCGCGTGCGCAGGCAGTGGGGGGCCAACTGCCTGGCGTCAGGAGTGTCAACCTCAGTTCGATGGGTGATGTCAGAGGATAATTCCGCGGACGAGCCTTCCCGCCTTTTTCAGCCTCCCGGGCCCGAGCTTCATCAGGCCTTCATCGGGGTCCGCCCTGCTGCGCCCAGTCGCGGCGATCCTGTCTCGGGGCCGCGCTGGGTGCCGCAGCGCAGGCAGCCGGGCAGCAGCCGTGACGGGCTTGCTGCCCCGAGCCAGAGCCGCGGAGAAGCTGTGCGAGAAGATGATGTCGGATTTTCTGGCCTGGGCTGCTGTTCACTGGCTGCCGCTGGAGACGCTGGCCGAGAAAGAGGAAGCTCTGGTGAAGAGGGGCGACGCGATGTATTTCGAGGGGGCCACTGCGGGGAACTCCAGCAAGCTGAGGGCCGCCGCAGCCTTCGACTGGCAGCTGGGGCGGGCCGGGGTGGAGCCGGAGATGGCCGCCCGGGCCCAGGTGGGGTTCAACAAGGTGGCCCCCGCCGCGTCGAGGTTGCCGCTGCCGCTCGTCATCATGCGCATGATCTTGAATGCCATGCTGTACCTGGGGAGCCTGTGGGAGCTGCGCGCGTGCCTCGCCCTGATGTGCGCGCTGTACCTGAGGCCCGTGGGCGTGATCAAGAGGCGGCCGGAGGATCTGGCGGTGCCGCTCGCGGGCGGCGGCGCGGGGCACGCGCGCTGGAGCGCGATGCTCCACCCCGCGGAGGGGATGCAGCCATCGAAGGCGAAGCTGTGCGACGAGGCGCTGGTGCTGGACAACTCGGAGTACTTCGACGTGGTGCCGGGGCTGCAAGTGCTTCGGCGGGGCGCGGGGCCGCGCCTCCTCCCCTTCGAGTTCAGGGAGCTGGCGAGGCTCTTCGGCGCGGCGGTGAAGCTGCTCAACCTGGAGGCGTTCGGCATCAACCACCTGTACCCGTGCCGCCACGGGGGCGCCTCGCACGCGGTCGCCAGCGGCCAGAGGGATCTGCAGGGCGTGCTGTGTCGCGGGCGCGGGGCGGGCGTGAAGTCACTCCGCCGTTGCGAGAAGGGCGGCAGACTCAACCAGGTGCTGGCTCGGCTCTCCAGGGGGTCGCTCGAGCACGCCAAGGCCTGCCGCAACCGAGCTGGACAGCTCCTCGCCAGGACGTGCTCGGCGCTGCCGCCCGTGCCCCACGGGGCCAGGTGGCCCTGGAGCTCTTCAGCGGCACGGGGCGCTGGGCGCAGGCCTGGCGGCGCGAAGCGGGGCTCAGAGACGTCCCAGTCTTCGAATGGGACCTGATCCACGGAGAAGAGTACGATCTGACCCGCCCGAGCAACCAGAAGCTGATCAGGGGGTGGCTGCGCAGCGGCCTCGTCTGCGCAGTGTGGATGGGCATGCTGTGTTCTTCCCGGTCCATGGCGCGGAGGGGCGGCGCGACAGGGCCGCCCCCGCTGCGCAGCAAGGACTGTATCATGGGGCTTCCTGACCTCTCGCCTTTGGATGCACGGAAGGTTGCCGTAGGAAATGATATCATGCGTTTTTGTGCCAGCGTGTTGCAATTATGCATGCGTCTTCGCATCCCAGTGGTACTCGAGAATCCGCACTCGTCTCGTGTGTGGTCGGCCCCCCCCCCCATCGCACGCATTTTAAATCGTGCAAGTGCCAGACAGACCGTCGTGGATTTTTGCCTCTACGGGGTCCCGTGGAGGAAGAGAACCAGGCTGCTATCCTTGTGGGTCGATCTCTCCTCGCTTCGTGGACTGCTCGTCGTCCGAAGGGATTTGCACGCGCACACGTCGCCCACATGTAGAGTTGACAGGAAAATGCAGAACATCAGAAAATGAGCCCCTGCAGCTTATGACCAGGATAGCTGAAGCATACCCAAGACCTCTGTGTAGGGCCATCGTGACATGCTTTCGACAGGCCCTCGCTTTTAATGTTTGTCAAGGTTTCTTCCGTCGGATTTTGAACGCTGGATAGTTATGATAGACGGCCCAAAAGGGCCAGTTGAACTCTTTGGGATCGTTGTTTTGGGGCAGGATCGGCAAAGCCGCGATCGCTAGCGCTGGTTGCCTCTGTTCGAGTGGCCACGCTCGCCCGCTGCTCCCGACGCCGGCTCGCTCAGTCAGAAACAATCTCTTCTGGCCCCAGCGGCGGGTGCGGGAAGATGTTTGTGCTTGCACGCGTATCGTCTAGCAACCGCGTGCGTGTGTGGCCGTTTCCTGTCACAGGTTCGCCCCCCTCCTCTCCCTCCCTGGCTCAGCCCTGTTTCCAGGGGCAGGATCGGCAAAGCCGCGATCGCTAGCTTGGTTGCCTCTGTTCGAGTGGCCACGCTCGCCCGCTGCTCCCGACGCCGGCTCGCTCAGTCAGAAACAATCTCTTCTGGCCTCAGCGGCGGGAGCGGGAAGATATATATATATATATATATATATATATATAATATATATATATATATATTCAAGACTGCATTGGCGCTTCGCGCCATGCACCTTGGTCCTTCAACCCTTGCGCGCGTTGGCGTCTAGCGTGGCCCTCCACGGTCTTTGAACCGCGGTTGGTTCGCGCCCAGTTCCCGGACCTGCACCTTACTTGCTCGCGCCCTCGCTCTGCTGGTCCGCGCGCCACTGGGGCTCCATGAGAATGTCCCAGCGGGCCGATCAGCGGCGATGAGAGCGGCCGTGGAGGCTCCGGAAATACAAAACGTCGGACAGAAGGGGCGGGAAAGAAGTGGAGGACGATTTGGGGAGGCGCGGCGAAGGGGGGAATATCATGAGGTAAGGTAAGGTAAGGCACGCATTGGGGCGGCGTGCTGTCTCGACTTGCGCATGGGGGTGAGACAAACGGAGATGCCTTGCGATTACATATGGAAACAGACCAGGGGGCTGCGGCTCCAAGGACTGCCAGATCATGAGGAGGAAGAGGAGGAGGGAGAGGGATAATGAAGGTGCCGTCGGGGAGCGGCAAAGCAATTTGCCCGCGTCGCACCGAGAGGCGCCGCTCCAGAAACCGCCCAACCCCGCGGGCGGCCTCTGCCCGAAAACCGAGAGCGGGGGGCCAGAGGCAGGGGCGGCAGCCGCAGCCCAGGGCCCGCGTGGCCTACGCGCCGCCAGCGGCCGGCCCAGCAGCGACCTCGGCATCGCTGTCGTCGCCCGCCGCCACGTCGCTCTCGTCGCCGGCCTCCTCGTCTGGGGGGGCCGGGCCTGCGAGCCGGGAGAGCAGCTGGCTCTCCTCGCAGAAAGCGAACTGCATCCCGTAGTCCGGGAGCAGCGCTTTGTCCGCCCACTTCAGCAGGCGCTCCAGCGCAGGGGTCTTGTGGCGCTTCGTGGCCAGCTTGCGCGCCGCCGCCAGCGCCTTGGCCCGCTCGCCAGCGCACTGTCGCAGCAGGGCGGACCAGAGCTGAAGGGCGCCGGCGGTGCTGCTCTCCAGGGCGGCCACCTTCCGGACGCGCCGGCCCTTCGACGGAGCAGAAAAAAACACACCAAAAAATATGACTGCTATTCGGGTCTACACTGCTGCGCGAGGGGCTTTCTCTCCAGTGGGCGCTGATCCGGGTTCGTGCCAATTCGCGCGTTCCCCCCTGTACGGGGGAGGCGTGATCTGTATGAAAAGATCCTTCAGAATTTAACGTAGGGCGGGTGGGAGGAATTTAACGCGTGTGAATGGTGTGTTTTTTACGCTCCTGACCTGTTTCCCTGGCACCCACGCCGTGGTCCCCAGGCGCTGGGAGAGCACCCGGCGCGGCCCAGACCCCGCGAGGACCACCTCTGGCGTGGTGGCGTACCGGCCGTGGTCGCTGCACCGACTCGTCGGCTGGCGGAAGCGCAAGAAGTTCTTGGCCCGGAAGCTGCGCCAGCCAGGGCTTGCTGCAAGCACGGTGGCCAGCTCGCCCGCCGGGGCCGCCAGCAGCTTGTCCACCATGCCGCCCTTGTGCTCCAGCTCGTTCACCGCCTCCTGGAATCGCCGGCTATTGGCGGCGATCTTCCTGAGCTCGGAGGCAGCCTGCGGCGGGCGTCAGAATGGCCCGCGCGAGCTGGGGCGAACGGGGGGCGAAGGAAATTCTGGGGCATGGGAAAATAATAGTAACACGTGCGTGGAAAAACTGCCCCTGACGAGTGTGGAACACATCCGCCGTGTCGTTGCGAAAGGCAAGTGCTGTTATAGAAAAACATTGTCGCATGGCTGGGGATTCTTCCGAGGCCCGGGGCCTTCCGGGCAGACAACTTTTTCAACCTTGAGTGGGCGAGGGCCCACGGGTTGAAGCTCGTTCCCACCAAGTCTGCCGGGTGGCCCGTGTGCGCGGCGAGCACGGCGCCCACCTTGGAGGTCACGCCCTTTTTCGTGGCAATGTCCTCGACGTTCTCCTGCAAGATCTTCAGGGCCACTGGGCTGTGGAGGAACTCCATAACCAGCGCGAGGGAGTCGCGTGCCTGGTACGGGGCCTGGCCCAGAATGGTCGTGATTGCTCTCGACGTCTTGTCAGCCATCTCCAAGCGCACCTTTTCGTGTTCTATGGTTTTGACGAAGATGTCCGGTTGCCCCGACGTCTCGTCTCCGGCGGCGTCGTTGTACGAAGCCCAGTCGTCCCGCGACACGGACGCCGACCGCCAGTCGTTGATGGCCGGAAGAAGGGCCTCGTGAAGGGCATGTGGAAGGGAGGAAACGGAGGAGGAAAATAAGGAATATGAGGAGCGAGGGGGGAAAGGACGAGGAGGAGGAAGAGGAGGAACAGGAAGAGATGCAGACCAAGAACGAATGCCTTCAACTCTGCTGGGCTCAGCGCTGCCATGTGCACGTCCGTGCCCGGCACGAGTTCATTGCTCGGCTGCAGGTCGCGCCAAAATGGCGGAAGGTGGCATTTCGATAAAGTGCCTTTGAAAAGGCTGTCGCGCACGAGTTGGCGCGTGCAGCGCACGAGCCAAAAGGAAGACCAGAAGGCCTCCATTGGGCTTGGGCCAAAGTGGCTACACCAGGGGAGGAGGATAAGGAGGGAGGAGTGAAATTGTTTGGGGGCGACCTTCGCTGCCAGGGGAGGGGAAAAGCATTCCTGCAGGCTTTCACGAAGCCTCGATCCTGGAAAAACGTGCCCCCCGTTCTTATGGCTGCGGCGGTGGCCACTGGTCCGAGAAAATTTGCCCTCAGCCCCGAGAGGATGCCATGGGGGCCCCAAGAAGCCCCAGGATGGCCCCAAGAGGTTCCAACAGGCCCCCAAGAGGCCCTCAGGAAGTCCCAAGCGCTTTCAAGAGGCTCCCAAGAGCCCCTGGACTGCTCCCCAGAGGCCCCCGAGAGCGTTCCGAAGAGACCCCGAGAAGCAGTTCTGAGGACTCTGATCCACGTTAGCGTCGTCGTCGTCGCCGCCGCCGTCGTCGTTCCCTTTCAGGGTCGGCGGCTCCGGCCGTAAGGCCTTCGCAGTAGTGAAACGAATGCAATAGGTCGCAATAGAAGCGCGATGTGAACTATTGGCGTTGACCTGTAATGCGACGACAATGCAACGCACTGCAATTCGACGCGAGCCATTGCAAACGACATGCATCGCAACGATGCGCACATCACCACATGGGGCGGCCATGCATGGAGAGGTCGGTTCGCGCGACCGTTGAGATGTTTGTGCCGCGAGGGGGCCCTCTCTACACGTTCATTGTTAATTGGGGTGCGGAATGGTTTGGGCCATATTGAGGCCGTCTGGTGACTGTGCATGGGCGGTCCTCGGGCGAGTGGGGGTTCATTGCGAGCGCCAGGCAGCCTGTTCTGGGCGAGGCGTGCAGACCTCGAGGGGCCCATGGATCGATGTGTGCACACCGATCGTCGATTATGCACTCCGCTATGCAAGCCCCAGGACGTTACGGTGGTCAGCGTCGACCTCTCTTGGAAAGCCCAACTGGCTTTCGGGGGGTTCAACCCGGCGTCCGCTGGCATGCGCTGGCCACAGCGATAGCCGCTTACATCCGCCAGCTTCCGCGGGCCTTTTGCCAGCCTCCGCCGAGGGCGAGAAGACAACTTTGGAAGTCCTCGAATACGAAGCTCTGTCTGGAACGCTCTCCATGGGATTAGGTGCGGAGCAAAGCCGGGTGGGCGCGGAGCCACCGACACGCGTGGCACCGAGACCAGAAAATCCACATGGAACGGGGGACTTGCCGGCGACGCCAGGCGATGCAGCAAGGGAAAGGAGGACGATGGGTGACGAAGTCGAGTGTGGCGGACGGGGGCGGGGAGGAGGAATAGGAGGAGGAACGCATTTGTGGGGCCGCGTGACGGTCCCAGGGGTCCTTTCGGAGCCACGTGTGTCGTTTTGGGTATTTGTCGAGGTCCTCTTGGACGGGTTTGGGGGTCGTCAGGGGAGGCCTTGGCGACCTGATGGGGTGTCCGAAGCTGGCAATGCGCGAAGGCTAAGACAGTGCGAACCACGTAGAAAGGGGGGGGACCTTTTGGGGCCCCTGGGGATCATTGGCGGTCTTTTTGAAACTACTGGGGGCGTCGTGGGGGCCCGGTGGGGTTTCGTGGAGACCTGGGGGGGCGTGTGGGGGGCCTTGTGGGGGCCTGTTCAACTTCCCCTTGGTGCTGTTTCGGAAATTTTTGGAAGCGCATCGGGCCCCCCGGAGGCTACTTCGGGGCGGTCTTCAAGCATCAGCATAAGTAACAAAGCGAGAAGCAAGCATCATTAATTCGGATCGTGGAAAAATTGGAAATGGTATTTGGAAGCGGCGTGGGGGGTATCCTAGAGGTTTCCGAAGCTGTCATTAACGTTTCTGGAGGCGTCCCGAGGCTCTTTTGGATCGCGAAGGTATGGGAGAAGCTTGAGAAAGCGCGAACAAATGGTCGGGGTCCCGGGGACAGCTTTGCATGACGCGGCTTTATCTGAAGGTATGGCTTGGGAAAAGCGGAAGGGCAATTTGATAAGGAGAGCGGTTTGGGCCGCGATGCAGAGACAAAAAGGTTGGAATCCCGGGTTCACAACGTTTTTTCCGGGAAATCGGCTGCGAACCTTGGATTTGGGGCGATTCTGCTGCTTGGTGGGGTGAATGCCTTGGGGGGCCCCCGAAGCATGCCGTGGGCTCCAGCGGGGGCACGCTGGGTTCTGCGGTGGGCCCTGCTGGGGCTCACGTGGTTCCATGGGGCTTTTCGGGGGCTTCTGGGGCTCCGGAAGCGAGGCTTCACGTCTGTGGCAATGGCGGCAGAGATTCCGGGGGAATTCCCGAAAGTGACGAAGCCACGGGGAAAGCGTCAGAGCAGATGGGGACGGAGGAAGGGAGCTTTGGCGATGCGGGGGAGGCCTCAAAGTCCGCCTTCGGCGTTGGACGCCATGAAACATGCGTTGACGGGCGAAAGCGAAGCGGGGCGTACGCGGCGGGGCCCCAGGGGGAGGCTCGCGAGGCTCGCGGAGGACGGGCATGTTTTGCTGCTGAGAGCGACGTCGATACGGCTCAATGGACGGGCTGCGATAGCACATGTCAGACCGACAGAATGCTGGGCGGGTTCCGCGCGGGGCGGGGGACGCCCCTGTAAACGGCTCTCGTGGCCTACGGGCATGCCGCGACGCGGGCGCCAGGGGCCGAGGAGAGAAGAAGCGGAAAGCACCCGCACCGTCTGCGGGGTCATATTAAAAAACGTGCCCGGCCTTGGCGCGCGCCGCCACGTGGGCGCGCGCGGCTGAGCGGAAAAGGGGTACTCGCCAGCGGCCGCGCCTCAACGGCGCGCGGGGCGCTTGCGAACCGCGGGCTCACCGCCTGCCGCCGCCGGGCGCTTCCTGGGGGCCGAAGCCGCGAGCGCCTGAGGGCCGCCCTGCCAGTCGAAAGGGCCCACCGTGATGTAGGCAGAATACTTCTGCACCATGGCGTCCACCACCTTGCGCACGTTCGGCGGCATCGCTGGGTCCAGACGGAAGCGGAACCTGATGAGGTCGGACACCGCCCAGTCGCCCCCATCGGCGCGCGTGCCAGTGCGGTGCACCTTGACGCGCTGCCCGAGCAGGGATGCCGTTGCGCTCCAGGCCGCCGCCGTGGGCGACGCGGGCACGGACAGGTCGGCCTCGAAGAAGGCGTGCTTCATGATGAAAGCGGCGTGGTCTGCGCCGTGCGCAATGGCCGCCTTGACGGCCCCGGACGTGGTGGGCACCACGTCGATGCAGTAGGTCCACGTGCGGCCCTGGTAGGGGTTCGCGGTGCTCTGAGGCGGCATGAGGCCGCGGTTCATGTACTCCACGTTGCGCGGCTTCTCCGGCAGGGCGAGCTCCTCCCGAGCGCGCTGGGTCACCTGGGGCTTGGGGGGGGGGGAGAAAATCCGAAGTATAATCATATGCGTGTTTAGGTGGGGGCGGGCGTCTTTCGATTTGACGGCAACGTTTCGGCCTGGGGGGGGGCAGAGCGGTTTGGCGGGCCACGCGCCGTAGACAAAGCGTGGCGCTGCGCCAGGCGCGGCTGACCGGGCTGCAAGGACGCCGCGTCGGCGAGGGTGAACCGCACGCCGGCGTCGTGCACCACCTTGCCAGCGATTTTGACCCCAATCATCTGGATGCCCACGTCGACGGTGTAGAGCGTGCCGTTGGTGCGTGCCCCCGGGGCTGCTTGGGCCGCAGGCTGCGGGGCGGCGGGGCCCACGACGACCGCGTTGCCGCTGCGCGCCGGCATCGCTTCGAAGTCTTGGGCAGGGCGGGGGGCGGCCACCGACGAACACTGCGGCAAACTCACACTTTGCAAGCTGGGCGCCGCTTTGGAGCCGAGAAACTGCAGCGGTGAGCAGCGGTGTGCGCGAAAGCACCCGAATTCGTAGGAAGTGCACCGAATCCCGGGTTCGCAACCGATATCCGGGGAATTTGGTTGCGAACCCGGGATTCTAAGCATTTTGGTGGTTTGGGCGGGAACCCGCTGCGGGGGAGACGGCGGGGCAGCGCGGCGAAGCCGTTTAAGAGATGGCGGCCGATTGGAGCGGTTTTCCGCTCGCGAGAGCGACAGGCAGATGCAGGCGCCAAGGTTGCGAGCAAGCACTAGCGGAGGCGAAGCTTACACTTTGAAACTCATAGCCAGAAAGGGTGCCTGGGCGCGCAGCGCCAGCTAGCTGCGCGCCGGTCGCTTGCGCGCGCCGTGCTGGGCGGCGGCTGGGCGTTTCATGGGAAGCTCCGCGCCCGCAAGCGGGCCGCCGCTGCTGCGAGCTGGGCCATGGGGCAGGAGCAGCTCTTTCCACACCACATTCCGGATGAGAGGCTCGCCTTGAGGCGTGCACCGGTCCGGAGAAGATAGGATTCGCAAATCCATCCGGTGAGACACGCGACCGAGAGCAACGTACAGGTGGCCGTGGGCGAAGGGGTCTGCCCGCGCATCCACGGCGCATCTCTCGAGCGTCGCGCCCTGCGCCCCATTGAACGTGGAGGCGTACGCGGGGCGCAGGGGGAGCTGTCGCCTCAGCACAGTGCAGGCACCCCGACCGAGAGCCCACTGGAAGATGATGCGCGGAATAGGGTACTCGCGCTGGTCGAGCGTGGCAATCACAACGTGAAACCGATGAACGTCTTTAAGAATAACGGGCGTGTGATTCATCAAGCGTTCCTTGCTGTTGAGGTTGCGCATGAGCTCGTAGAGGCCTCCGCGGACCAGCCGCAAGCGGTGCGGGGGGGCGCCCAGGTGGGATTGGGTATTCAGGA